CGCGAGGTGCCGCCGCCCGGTGCCGCCACCGCCCCCGCCGCGGCAGAGGGCGGTGGCAGGGAGCGCGGGCGCGGCGAGCGGCGCAGCGAGGCCGGCGACAAGGCCGAGCGGGCAGGCGGCGAGGTGCTGCTGCGGGCGACCAGCAGGGAAGGGGAGCCACGAGGCGGCCGCGAGCGCGCCGCCAGCCGCGACGGCCCCTCTGCCACCGCTGGCAGCGACGGCGGCAAGGAGGGCCGGGATCGGCCCGCCAGCAGAGATCTCAGCGACAGGCTGGGGCCCGGGCGCGGCCGCGGCAAGGAGGAGGAAGGCGGCGGCCGGCCGGCCGAGGCGGTAGCAGAGGCTGGGCGGGAGCGGCCGGCAGAGGGGCGGCACGAGCGGGCGCGCGGCGGCGAGCATCGGCCGCGGGAGGCCCGGGAGCGGCCCGGCAGCGGCGGCAGGGAGCGGGAGGCCAGGCCTGCCGCCGCGGCTGAGGGCAGGGAAGGCCGGGCGGAGGAGGAAGGCAGGCGGGAGCCAGGTGAGGCCCAGCTGGGTGTGGGTGGCTGCCACCTGCTCGCCTGCCTGCCTGCCTGCCCCCCTGCCTTGCTTCTCACCTGCCGGGCTGCCTGCCTGCCTGCCTGTGTGCCTGCCCTCCCTGCTGCCTGCCACGCTCACCCACGCCCCCGCTCCGGCCGCTCCCACCTGTCTGCAGCCCACGGTTCCAAGCGCAAGCGCGAGGAGGAGGCGGCGGCGGCGGCGGCGGCGGCAGCGGCCGCGGCGGCTGCTCCGGAGCGCCCCACCAGCCGCGATGCTCGAGAGCGGGAGCGGGAGCGGGAGCGCCCTGCAAGCCGGCCGTCTCGGGAGCAGCGAGCGGCGGGCGACAAGGGGCCAGGGGAGCAGCCACGCGGCGGCAGGGGAGAGGGCGAGTCGCTCCGCCCCCGCAGCCGGAGGGAGGAGGGCGCCGCTGCGGCTGCGGTTGTGGAGGACGCACGTGCGGCGGCGCAGGCTGCCGCAGCCGCAGCGCTCAGCCGCGACCGCAGCGGCAGCCTGCACCGGCGGCCGGCCGGCCAGGCAGAGGAGCGGGGCCGGCCGGCTGCCGCAGCCCCTGCCGCGGCGGCGGCGGCGGCGGAGGAGGGCGGCGGTGGCAGCGGGAGCGAGGGCGAGGGGCGGGGCGGGCGGCGGCACAAGCGGGACCGCAAGGACCGAGAGAAGAAAGAGAAGGACAAGAAGAAAGAAAAAGAGAAGGAGAAGGAGAAAGAAAAGGAGAAGGATCGCAAGGTGGGGCCGACTGCACGGCTGGAGGGAGAGGAGGCAGCAGGGGGGCAGGCCACGCGTGCACCTGTGCCGACGTGGCTGGCCTCTACACCAGGTGGTGGCCCCGCCGCAGCCTTTGTGCTGCCGCACCGCACCCTTTTCCCTCACCCACCCACCCACCCACCCACCCTGCCCGCCCAGCAGGACAAGAAGTACCGGCGCAAG